GTAAGTTCGAACTAAAAGATTGTTAGATAAAAAGTTTTTTGGAGAATTAAGTTTTCTTCAATGTTTGGTGTGTATTAGAAAAATAATGAAATAAATGCTATATTAAATAAATAGAGGAGTTTTCGAAAAAAATCTTCTACACGTTCGTTGATTGAGATTTTTGGATGCGCGTTTTTTTTTGTCAGAAACATTTTATACAGTGTGTCATGTAACAGTGAAAATTACCAACTTTTTTATTATTATCATCATTTTCAGCTTATTCAACCATTTCCACTTATGGTGTAACCTACCTTATACAGGGTGGCGCACCTCATTCGCCTCGGTTGATTATACGAAAACTGAAAGATATAGAAACAAAATATTTTATGGGTATATGTGGGGAGGCAATGTGCATAATTTAAAATTATTTTCAAATGTACAGGATATGTCAGAACTAAGATCCACACCAAAGTTATATTTTTCCTTACGGAACACCCGGTATTTTATTTCATATTTGGATCCGTCGACACAAAATAAGGCATTTATTATAAGGGTCAAATATATTTACAACCTTTGGTTTTTGAGATATTTAAAGATATTTAAATATGCATACTATAATAAAAACGATTGTCAACACCCTGTACATTGCTTTTCAGAATTAATTCTTGTGCTGACTTTTAAGCCAAAGAAATAAACTTTACTGAAAAATTCGATTGCTTTGTTTAATGTATACAGGGGTATCAAAAATTGCTGGTCTATTTTAAATATTTATTTTACATAAAAATTTCGTTAAAAAATGTCTATACCGATGATTCATCTTTCCAAAAAAATTCTTTATGGTTATTTCGTGTTTACAAAAAATAATTATTTTATTTTGTAGATTTTCTTGCAGTGCAGTGGCGAAATACCCATAAAGGATTTTTTTGGAAAAATTTCGTTAATTCAAATACAACTACCTGTATTTTTTAAAATAAATCAAAGCAGATTCAAAAGCCTTTTCAAACTATATTAAGGTTCCCTATACCTATCTACCTCAGATGTTGAATAAATAGCAATTTTGCAATAAAATGGCAACCAAGAGGGCTGGTGTCATAGCAAGTTTCTAATGAGAGTTAGTAGCAATTTTCAAAATCGAAATTAATTTATGGATTTTATTTAAATTTAAACCAGTTTACTTTTATTTAATTTACCTATAATAGTTTAATAAATAATATTTATTAAATATGTATATATTATTCTATCAGGAAAAACGAAGAAATAGTTTTTTGATTTATTTTGCGATGACTTCTAGATATATGGATTTTCTATAAAAGAGCCAATTACGGCAAATTCAGTTTCTGCCTAATAGGTTTTTTATAAATCACACTACCAGCTCTGCGAAATAGGACAAGCAGTTTTTCAAAGGAACGCTTATCAGGAAGATTCCTATTTGGATATCTTTGAGCATAAGCCCTTGAGGCCAAGAACCTGTTTTATCATCATTTTATCGCAAAAAAATTTATGATTAATTTAAAAAAATTAAAATTTCACAGATTTGTTATTTCAATCAAATAACTACTCTCAACGTGTTTATTTTTTTATCAATAATGACATGTAATGACTATTTCTAATTATCTTGAAAACGGTTGCTCGTAGCGATTTTTACCAAGAGACAGTAAAAAATCAATCGAAACTGTACATTTTTTCACTCAGTAGTTTTATACAGGTAAAAATGAAAAGTTATTACTCTTCAAACCAGTTAAAACACATGTAGGTGGCGCCCCTTACAAATAGGAGTCATATTGACATCAAAATCAAATTTCTCATGTCAAAAAATTCCCAGACACCAATTTTCATCACAAATATTGACGTTACTTCAGAAATTATTTGGAAAAAATCGAAATAAAAATAAAACTTCTACACCCTGTATCTCCGAAACTAAGCCCATTTTAGGACATACATTTATACGAACCTTTTCACTTATTTTTATCTGCAGAATATGCTGCCGAAGTTTCCGGAATACAGTTCGGACCACCCTGTATATTTTACATGAAATATGTTTAAAATTTTATGAAAAATCTAAAAATTAAATAATATACAGGGTATAGCATTGTAAATAAAAAAAAATGATATTTGTTACTGTTACATAACACATCCTGTATAAAATAATTTTGTTTAAAAACAAATGCGCAAGTAAAAATATCAATCAAGGTGTCAGAGTGTCTTTTTCGAGCACACCCTCATTTATTTATTATCAAATTTGTTCCACTTGGCTTGATACATACTGTATATCTCCATTTTATCGATAAAACTCTAGGGTATCATGGTAATTAACACATAGAAGTAAGGGTTCCATGACAAAAGATAGGAAGTAGGGTTCAAAACACCGGAAGTAGTACATTGACTCATCTGCTAAACGAATATTGTTCAAAAAAAGAGTAATTTTACGAAATAATTTCCATACTTCACAACAAATCAATTTTGTTAAAAATCTAGAAGAGTTTAATAATAAGTTTCGGTTTTTTACGCCTGATTTTGAAAAATTAGACCGAAAAAATCGAGGATCGAGAAATTTGACGCATCGCTGGAAGAATTTTCCGTTTCCTGTTAACAAAAAACTAGTTTGTAGAGTATTTTTAACGGTAATGTTAGTAGTATTTGGACGAAATACAGGTAGCGGTTATAATTGTTTTGATGACTTTTGTGTATAAAAACAGGAAAGGAACAAGCAAATTTGTAGAGAAATTTTAACAGTATTGTATTATTTAATATATAAATTTTGGTACTAATATGACAAAAAACGTTTTAAGGCTATTGGTGAGAGACAAAATATATAAAAAAATGTCTATGCCTATGTGGATTCATCTCTCCAAAAAAATCCTTTATGGGTATTTCGCAACTGCACTGCAAGAAAATCTACAAAATAAAATAGTTATTTTCTGTAAACACTTCTGCGTTAAACCTAAACGGACACTGCTTGTCAGAAGTTATGTTTACAGTTATACAAATTTGCCTAACAAAGAAAAAAATGCTTTCCGTCGTCGGAAGCAAAAAAAAATACAAAGAATAAAGAAAAAACCTATTTAAAATATTTAAATTCAACTATTCGAGAACACTTTATTATACTTTTTTTAAAACAGATACGTCTACAAGAAACCGGTTGACGTTCTGTTAAAATGACATATATAATATCAAGTTAAACCTCAAAAATTAACAATTACTACCTGATAACAATTACTTAATAAGGTAAAACCAAAAAGCCCCAAACTTTCTGTATGATTATTTTTAAATTTTACTTAAGTTATGTTTATTCATGTTATGTTCTTTAAAATCAAAGAAGCGATTGCCATGCATTACTAACATCTACAGATGCATGAGCAATACATTTATTTTTATTAAATTGAATTAAAAAAGCCTCTTATTTTTCTTGAAAGGCTATCGCATCTTTCAGTATAATTTTGGCGTTATTAAAATTTATTCTGTGCTCTGTGTCCTATGAATGGTGACAAATCTATGATTTGTGAAAATCTCCCTTTCTTAAATAATCTTTATATGTTCTTTAATTCTAACATTTAAGGGTCTAGATGTTTTACCAATGTGAAATTTATCGCATTCACATGGTATTTGGTATATTATATTTTTTGTTTGTTGTTCTGTATTCATTGGTTTAGTATGTGATAAAATGGATCTGGATGTTTTCCTATCCTTCTTATTTTTTCCGAAACGCTTCGTATGTATGGAATTGTAAGTTGTCCGGCAATAGTGCGTCGGGCATCTGTAGCTCCTAGAATAAAAAACTTGGGAATTTTGTTTAAGTGTAAACCTAAAGTATGTATCAGGATGTATTTCAGGAAAATATTTTAACTTCTATAGGGTAGCTCAAAAAAGTGTGAGTGAACCTGGATGATTTTTTTTAAATGGAACACCCTGTATATTATTGCATTTTTGGATTCCTTTCAGATCACTTTACATAATCCTAAGATATGAATAAATATATTTCGATAGTTTCAGAGATATTAAAAAATAAATCAAAACTATATATTTTTCAGCCCTTCTTAAAAAAAATTATTAAAATACAAGAAGTGTTCTGATATCAATGGGCTGTTCTTACTTTGCTATAAATATGATAATCGTAAATCATACAGGATGTTCAATATTCTACACCAAACTTTCTAAAATATAAAATATTTTTTCTTTGTTTTATTAAATGGAACACCCTGTATATTATTTTTTTATTAGATAGAGAATTAAAAAATGAACATTTTTTGTATTTAGAGTATCTCAAAATTTTTAACGGTTTTGCAGATACACGCAGTATTATTTCATATGGCGCTTTCAATGGTAAAATACGAGAGAAAAATCATTGGGTGGCTTTGATAAAAATTTACTATGGAAAATGCCATATGAAATATAAAACTCCAAATATCTGCGAAACCGTTAAAAATTTTGAAATACTTTAAATACAAAAAAAAATCATTTTTTAATTCTCCGTTTATTGAAAAAATAATATACAGGGTGTTCCATTTAAAAAACGAAGAAAAATTATTTCATATTTTAGAAAGTTTGCCGTAGAATTTTGAACATCCTGTATGATTTACGATATTCATATTTATAGCAAAGTAAGTACAGACTATTTGAAGTAAATATCTAATATAGTTTTGAGTTCAGAACACTTCTTGTATTTTTAATATTTTTTTTAAGAAGGACTAAAAAATATATATTTTTTATTTATTTTTTAATATCTCTGAAACTATCGAAATATATTTATTCATATCTTAGGATTATGTAAAGTGATCTGAAAGGAATCCAAAAATGCAATAATATATAGGGTGTTCCATTTAAAAAAAATCATCCTCATCTACTCACACTTTTTTGAGCCACCCTGTAGAAGTTAAAATATTTTCCTGAAATTCATCCTGGTTTATACTTTAGGTTAGCACTTAAACAAAATTTCCAAGTTTTTTATTCTAGGAGCTACAGATGCCCAACGCACTATTGCCGGACCCTGTATATTGTTTATTGTTATCATTGTGTCTATGATT